TGTTCCGCCCTAGGCTCCCCCTGAAGCCCCTCGATGCTAGCCTCCATGTACTGCACGGCCGCCTTCAGAGCCTCGCACAGCCTGCACACGAAGCTCGCCTTCTGCGCGTCGGCCAAACTCGAGAATTCTGTCTCGTCCAAGTAGCACCAGCGCTTGCATTCTTCGCACTGCACCAGCTCACTCTCGCCCGTGGTTTTCCTAGCCTCCTTAGCCATCGCCTGCCCGACCATCGAACCAAGCGCCCGACAGCCCTAAGGTCAACCCTAATCCCGCTATCCAGCCACCTCCGCTAACTCTCCTACCTCAACAATTGTTAGAAGCTGCCACCTACACTGCACACACATGTGTTCAATTTCGCTAGTAGACTCTCACTAGGTCTTCTTCGTGTTCGGCTCTAGCTGCTATCTCGTTAAAAAACTCTGGAGACGGTCTATATATATATTATATATATATACATATATATATATATATATATATATATATATATATATATATATATATATATATATATATAATATATATATATATATATAATGGTTGTGACACGGTGCACTAATGACCGCGATTAAGCCGGAACGGGCTCACATAATTTCTGTTCAGTTGCTCAATTTTTATTTTAGGTAATACTTTTCTTTATTTCCCATTAGAATTTTTTTGCTACAGCATTTACATAAGTAGAGTTACTGAAGTATTGCAAACATCGACTCCACAGCGAAATAGTTGAAACAGAACAAAACCGTGATCAAACTTCTCCACATTAATTCGTGTCCTTTTGAAGGTTGCGTAAAGGAGCCAATCATGACCCAGAAATTCGATCGAAATCCAGCCTCATCGCGATCGAAAGTGACCCTGTGACACCCCTATCGCAAACGTGCCTTAACCGTCATCCAAGACAACAAACCATACTTTTGGGAGCGCTTTGTCTGGGAAACGTCCACAGGCCCAGACTGTACTCCAAAATAACCAGCTCATTTTCACACAGCATCGTCTAGAAAACAAAGACGTGAACGTCAGCTTTCAGTTTGTCCACACGCCCAAATGTCGAGAACGTATCGCCTCCTTTTTGGCATTGGACATACGAAATGAAGCGAACGTGTGATGTACTGGATTGTTGTGCCGTCGGAACGACGAAAAGGAGTAAATGGATTTAAAAAAATATTTTATGGATCACTGTTGTCGCTTCGACGCTGCCACAGAAAACAAAGCTGGTCAACGCGGTTTTCTTTCTTTTTTTCTGACTTCTAGCATAATACGTTATGTATGCGAACGGCTGCTTCGTCTACCTTTTTATTCACGACACGGACAGGCGAATGTAGCAGAACCTTTGTTTTGCACCGGAAGCAACATACCACGTCATTGTTCACTGGTTATCGCAAAAACAGTGTGGTTTCTGAAAAGTGATGAAAAAAAAATGCTGTTTACGCCAGAACCAACAGGCAGAAACCGATTGGTTCGTTCACATTGCCGTTTACACCAGAACCAACCGGCGGAAACCGGTCGGTTCTTTCACATTCCAGCAAAGTTTGCAGCACAACCAACATGTGACTGAAGTATACAGAGCAGCGATCGCGTAGCGTAAAAAAATACACACGGAGTTAGCGAGTCCAACAATGCAGGAATCATTAATCGATACGGCTGTGTTTCCACGTCTTTAGATGGTCTCCAGCCCAAAGATTCAACGATGCTTTTTTGAAGTTTCATGTCCATCCTAGGGCAAACGACGTAAAACTTGCGTAACTTACGAAGTAACGACAAATGACGTGCACAAAATAAGCGGAGAAAGGAGCTTTGGCTAGTTGACAAAACTTCATGATGTTGCGCAAGTTTCCTGTTGGCTTATGCATCTCAGGATCATTTTATTATTCCATACGCTGCACCAGAACAGAATGGTGTTGTAAATACAGTTATAGTACACTGTGGTGTCAGACCACGAAAAAGCGGCCCGCGGTTACAACACCGATGTTGTGTAGCTGGATGCCTTCCTGATGGGTTATAAAATACAGCACTCTCCTAAACAAGACAGCAGGGCAAAAATGTACGGTGCAAGTATTTTTCCTGCGGTTATCTCACCCAGGAAAATTCATGGCAGATTTTTGTTTGATGCCAGGTATAAAATAACTCACCCAAATTAGGGTTTCCTGTCAGCGCTGCGAACAATTCAAGCTCACTGCCAGTGTCCTCAGGTGATGATGCATCGCCCTTATTTAGCCTGGAAATTGAGCTGGAATTTTCACTTGGCAGACAGTCTTCCTTGAACGCCTCATATGTTGTTTCGAGAAAGTTGATCTTGTTTATGGATAATGACCGCCTCACTGCATAACCACTTATGCGTTAATGCGCGTTGCTAAATACTGTGCATTTCTTGTATTGGACCATCTATTAGTCATGTTGGCTCTGACGACTTGCTGATGTTCCTTTTGCTTGGAATACTGTCTTAGCTACAGGGAAAGCCAAAACCAAGTTCTTTTCTTTGCCTGAAGGCAAATCCTCTGACTATAAGTACTAGTCAGACAATTTGTTTGTTATCTATCCCAGTTCCTGCATTCTCGATCTCACTCTTAAAAGACATGTATCTTAAACGATACAAGCGGTCACGCTACCAGAAAATGACCAATGAGTTGAAGGGATCCAGCCATGAGCCCCGAGAAATGAAAACCATTGATGAAAACCTCGATAATGTATCAGTGGGCAAACATTGAAATAACACGCGTGAAATACATGAGACGCTAGGGCCACGACACTGCCCACTGAGCTATGCATCGGCGGGGCATACACCGCAGGCACGCGGACCGGCCCGTCACCAACTGTCCGGCTGGCGCGTCGGCTGCTCCTTTTGAACTGTGCGATTGTGCCACGCGCATCTCTGATGCGCAGCACGTGTTCTAGTTGAAGTAGCTGTGAAATGGGCGTGATTCCACGGTGTTAAAGAAGGCAAGTGCACGAGTTGTGAAAAATGAGTTGTCAGAGTCATTACCACGTATACCGTGCTATGTTACTGAAAAAAAAAGTGAACGTACAGATGCCTTCACCCCCGTGTTCTAGAACGTTCCTTCACTCAGCTTAACCTTCACTCGAGAAAACCGATGGAAGTGCCATCTGTAGGTATGACAAGTCACTACATATCAGCAATAATCTGCTGCAATTCTTGAGTAGCACAACGTCATTTTTAACTGGGTAATGGCGCAGTGCTCGACTCTGTCAAGTGAAGGATGAAGTCGAGTCAAGGAGTGTTTGTGAATACGGGAGTCAGTGTTCTAAAAAGTCAGGCTCACAACACAAAATCCTAGGCTAAAAGATTCACTTTACTCACACACTAGTTTATGCTCGGCGCCAATGTATCTGCATTCGTGCAAAAAAAAAAAAAAAAAAGACGGGTACCCAAAAAAAGTTTTTTTTTGCAAAAAAAAAAACTTTTTTTGGGTACCCGTCTTTTTTTTTCTTCCATGGCAACAACTTGTGACCAGATATAGAGGGCTGCACTTGACGCCGAGTGTAGTGAAAGACGATAATTTCCCGTGGAGGCTTTGACATTGTGAGCACCCACGTCGTACAGTGCCAGATATTGCTGAGAGATTTGTATCTTTGTTCGTACAGTTGTTCAGAGAGTTGTCGGTTACCGCGAACCTGTCATGGCACACTCGAGTAACATCCCACCACTTTTCCGCCGTTGATGAATTCAATTCGTAGGTTGCTCTTCCCACCCTGCGAGTCCAAGATGTCACCAATTTCAACAACAGTAACGGGAAACTCACGAAATAAGCAGAAGGTAAAGAAATCTAGGAGATTCTGTTAATAACAGCGAAAAATTGGTATCGAAAATACGTGACCATCGGTAACTCATATTACTTTCGACGCGGAAAGGTCCCTCAACTTTAGAACTTTAGTAAAATGTGAAGTGTTTTTTTTTAGTTCATCACCCTTCAGTAACCCCTTGTTCACATGTGCGAGCTGGAGTGGCTTCTCGCATGCATAGCTTCAATGGGTTACTGTCCTTACTGCTATAGCAAAGATATTTCGGGGTGAGGGCAAGTGGTTAAACAAAAACATTTAAATGACTTAGAGACAATCACTAATGTAGCGTACAGTTAGACCAATGTTTAAACGCAGATGAGACGCGAAAAAATCCGTGCGCATAGTTACATGCCACGTATACGTGTACAGCTGCGCAGCATGGCGCCAACTAGTGTCTCGTGGAATACCACTAGAATTTTCATATCACTCAGATTATCTTTTGGTTGCGTGGCTAAATTGTTTAACTAGAAAAAAATAGCTGAATTATTCATATTAAAAAATTACCTCTGTTGTCAAGTAGAATGCTTGGTAACCGAAAACGTTCATCTGTGCATGATAGACACTGGGTCTGAATTCGCACGGATTGGTGGGTGGCCCTTTGGATCGCGTCTCACCAGCGCACACATTTTGTAGCCCCCTACAAGGACACAGCGTTGTGCAGGTGATTTTACCATATCCATTGATTCTGACACTTTTTCGAAGGAAGATGCAGACAAGAGAAGTAGACAGAAAAGCACTTGGGGCTACACCGGCACACCTACAGGCACATCCCAAAATGTAACACAATATATATCATGAAACAACATACCGCAACCCGCTTTACGACTGATCCATCAGAAAGAAGAAAATAATTGGATCAGCCATCCTTTGTTCGATATAACAGAAAATAGAAGCGCGAAAGGTGCTGACGGTATGCACTAGTGTATGTACAAGAGATGAAGTTCCTATGATAGAGTCCTTGTCCATAGGAATTAACAGGCATTTATGCCTGTGTAAAAAATAGAGATAATGCGGGCTTGTTCTGTCTATTTGTCATTCCTGTTTGCTTTTTTGTTAAAACTGATTATGCATATACACAACTCGTCCAAATACTTGCAGTTAGGAGACTTGTTCAACAGGATGCATGTTCAATTATGTGGAAGTCATTTAGAGTGCGCCACTCTTATGGCGCGGGAAAAAAATGTTGCGGCGGACGGCACACTTGATACTCACGGTCGAGGGTATTCCAATGCCTCGCCAGCCACAGTTACGCGAAGTTCAGGATCCTCCAAATGTCCCCTCACAATGACGTCGAAGGAAAGCACTGCCTGTCCTCGGTCCATCTCGCTTTTGGCCGCTACGTTCTCAATCATGGCCGTTGCAGACCCTGCGGATCATTATGTTAAGCAAAAGTGTTCAACGATTTCGAGTACTTCGTACTCAACTATGGGAGAGCAGTGAGCCGTCCATATTACAGGTATGAAACGATACTGCTTCATAATACGTGTGTCTAGAAAAAAAAATGGTAACCCATTTCAACCACTCGGTACTCTACTATGGAAACAATGAAGCCGTTCCGTGGGCCTCACACTTGATGGGGCCCTGTCGACGAAAATTCTGAAGGGACAAGAAACTGCTTCACGTAGTCCCTCATATGAATATGAGGTCTGTTTGCCGCGCTATAGAGTTGCGGCCCGGATTCGGAAGTTTTTCTGACAGATTTCGGCAGCGTCAAACGGGAAATGTCCCACGAGGGTGAGTCTACAGAATGCTGCTTTCAAGATGTCCAACGCACATGGGCATTTGCATGCATCGTTTTCTGGTAATCTAAGCTATCTCAATACTGGGCTTGTTGACTCTTTTAATCATATGAATGTGTTCTTATATCTAGGTCACTTTTTATCCTAGTAAAACTTGTTGGAGGATTAGTTGGTGCATGTTAAAAGAAAATTATAGGACGCAAACCACCGGAAGAAAAGTGGAAACGGAAGAGCGCCCACTCACTCCCAAATTTATTCATGTCCAGCCACGGCAGCATCCCACACATGCGTAAGACACAGCACTACGTCACATCGCACAATTGGACACTCACACTGCCCATGCTCGGATTTCAGAAACCTATCAAACAATCGAATTCAGCTGACCGCAGTACTATCGACGTATCGCTAATACACATATATTTCTTCTTCCTGATGAGGTCTGCTTCTAGCATCTCTCGCTCAATCATGCCCTTGCTTCTACCTATAAGAATGATATTAGCAAATCTTGCCACACATCCACACGTGCTGCTGTGCATTATTCTTGATCGAAAGATCATGCTATCTTGCTCAGTCATCACACATGGGCCGGTGTAAACCCTTTCACAGGAGAGCGACATTTCGTAAGCCACTCCCATAGCACAGGTGACGCAGGGCCTCGCATGCCTCTTACCGCAGGGGCCGGGCAAGGGTCCTCTTCAGATCTGTGGATACAGGCCCGACGGTTCTCTTGGCGCAGAAAACATGCCATTTACTTTATACGTATAGGCCGTCTTTTCAAGGTTGTATGCAACCTTATGGCATACGGTACAGCTGTATACTGCACTTTCGTTTTTTCCAAAGCGCTTTTTCCCCTTTAACCTTTTGAAGCAGGGTTGAGCCCCTGCTGCAACAATCGAGCGAGATGTCCGGCTGAGCGAGGATATTAAGCTGAATTTTTACAGAAATTTCGACAACATGCGAAGTGCCTGCCTTTTACGCAGGAGCTACCTCCTAACGAGAAAAATTGCGTTTTTAGACTTAAACCTAACTGTGACGAAGGAGCACATCTGCTGGGCCTTCTGGCCTTGTTCGTGCAAAGCACTCATGCCCTCTGATATAGCGCAATTCAAGTAATTATTAGAGGTACTACATTTATGTGCTCTGAAGGCGCGTTGGATAAATCTTGCCCTCGTAGGATGCACGAAAGCTTTCACAACCATGTCGGTCGCCTATATTCAGCAGGGTACCCTCGCTCAGTTGTTGCGGCAGCGGCTCAATAGCTCCTTCAAGAGGAACTCGCTCACTGGATTCCGTGCCGACCAGTTGTGCCCTCGCGATCTCCGATGGCTGTGCCGCTCTGGCCGACTGGGTTGGTCCTACGCCACCTCCTGCCGCCGGTCCTCTACGACGACGACAGCGTAGCTCTGGCCGACTGGATTAACCCTACGTCATCTCCTGTCGCCGACAAGAGCTCTCGCCAGTGGTGCCCCATCCTCGGACTCCTGCGACCGTGTCTATCGTTCCTGTCTTCTCCATACTTCCGTCGCTCCCCGTCCCTGCGCCTCACTCTCTCCTTCCTGTCTATCTCTCTACCTTTTAATCCTATCCTTTTATTCCCTTCTCTACCCCCATCCCTCGTGAGCTACTGTTAAGGTGTCCTCCCCCTGAGAGGCAGTTACGGGGCTCACTTTTCTCCTCTTTTCGTTTAAAATCACTCCCCCCCCCTACTTCAAGAGGCTAAAGAGAAAAGAAGGAATGTCAGCGGTTTGAAGAAAAGATCAGCAGTTGTCTTGTACACTCATAATGTTCCACACAACTTTGAAAAGGTGGCCAATAGGTACAAAGCACCTGTGTTATTTTCTGCCCCCCCCCCCCCAAAAAAAAATTACGGCATATTCACGGGGTGAATGATGATGAATGGGCGAAGCTCCGGAGGGATTCATCGGTAAACTGTGAATCTTCCGTGTAATTCGCCCAGTCGATCATCATGTAAAGACGTGAGAAACGCTGTGTGTGTATATACACAAATCAACTTTTATTTGTTCTTAGACGATGGATGGCTTGCGATGTCCCTTGCCTCGCGCGCTCGCACATCGGGATTCTGTCTGCGAGCGCGCGCTGCTGCCGCCTTGCGCTCTCTCCGCTGTGCAGCCTTATCCATCCGGCGACTCCGAGCGCGCGCCAACAGCCAACGGATTTTATTACAACGCTCCCCCTAGCGTACGTCGCCGCACTAAATCGAACGATTGCCTTCAACCAATGACACGCGCCATATGTGACATCATTCCTATTTTATAAGATCTCGCGTCTTTCATCAACTACAAGTACCGCTTTCTAGTTTATAACATCTTGCATCTTTCATCATCAGCTACAAGTACCACCATCTAGTGAACACTGCAAGAACTAACTAGAGGTGGCTACGATGGATGGATGGATGGATGTGGCTGTACACTTTAGATCGGGCGGCGGCTAACGCCACCTAGCCGTAATACTTAGTGAACTAACCATTACATTTATCTTTTTTTTCCTTTAAATAATGAAGTTGAGGATTCGTACTTCGCAGTGAAGGGTTTAATTTTCACTCGTGCCTTGACTTTAGCCACCAATCAGATAACCTCCTTCTAGTTAAGTCTACCCGCTTAAAGTCTACTTTGCCCTCCCTGTCCCTAAATCCCAGTGCTTTGAAAAACTCTGCGCCATCATCCTGAACTATAGGGTGAAGCCCTTTACAGAACATTATCAAGTGTTCGGCAGTTTCTTCTTCCTCTCCACACGCACTGCATACTGTGTCGACCCCTTCGTATTTGGCCCGATATGTCTTGGTTCGCAGTACTCCCGTCCTGGCCTCAAACAGTAGAGAACCACCCCGAGTATTATCATAGATCCTTTCCTTGGCAATTTCCTGCTTAAAATTTCGATAGATCTCTAGTGCGGACTTCTTAATCGTGCCCATTCTCCACATGTCAGTCTCCGTTTCCTTCACTTTTTTCTTAACCGATAGCTCCTTTGGTTTGGCCACCTGCTGTTTTCTAAGTATTTACCAGTCAACTTCCTGGTTCGCTTCCTCCATTTTGTATCGACATTCTTCATGTACAAGTAGCTGAAAACCTTCCTAGCCCAACGCTCTTCCCCCATTTCTCTCAATCGCTTCTCAAATTTTATCTTGCTGCTAGCTTCCCTGCCCTCAAATGATGTCCATCCCATATCACCTTGAACTCCCTGATTGGTGTATTCCCATGAGCTCCTAAAGCAAGCCTACCTATTCCACGTTGCTTAATTTCTAATCTTGCTTGAACTTCTGATCTCATGCACAAGACCGCATTGCTGAACGTCAGCCCAGGAACCATGACCCCTTTCCATATTCCTCTCACAACATCATACCTATTGTAATTCCACAGTGCCCTATTTTTCACGACTGCTGCATTCCTGTTACCTTTAGTCGTCACGTATATTTCGTGTTCCCTCAGATACTCGGTCCCATTGCTTATCCATACGCCCAGATATTTGTATTTATCTGTTATCTCTAGCGTGACCTCCTGTATTCTAAGCTCACTACCTTCGTTGTCATTGAAAATCATGACTGCTGATTTTTCCCTACTGAATCTAAAATCTAACCTATCTCCCTCATTACCGCAGATGTCCTTCAATCTCTGCAAATCTTCCTTGTTGTTGGCCATCAGCACTATATCATCTGCGTACATTAATGCTGGTAGTGCCTGATCAATAAGTTTTCCTTGTTTGACTAAAGAGAGGTTGAAGCCCAGTCCACTTCCCTCTAATTTTGCCTCTAATCCTTGTAGGTACATCATGAATAATAAGGGTGACAGGGGGCACCCCTGCCTAAGCCCCCGTCCCTCGTGAGCTACTGTTAAGGTGTCCTCCCCCTGAGAGACAGTTACGGGGCTCACTTTTCTCCTCTTTTCGTTTAAAATCACTCCCCCCCCCCCCTACTTCAAGAGGATAAAGAGAAAAAGAAGGAATGTCAGCGGTTTGAAGCAAAGATCAGCAGTTGTCTTGTACACTCAATGTTGCACACAACCTTGAAAAGGTGGCTAATAGTATAAAGCACCTGTGTTATTTTCTGCCCCCCCCCCTCCCCCCCAAAAAAACTGTCAGACCTCGGCCACAGATCACAAGAGGATCCATGCCTGCCCCCTGTGGTAAGAGGCATGCGAGGCCCTACGCGACCTGTGCGATCGGAATGGTTTACGAAATTCCGCTATCCCGTGGGAAGGTTCTCATCGGACAGACCGGCCGATGTGCACCCAATAGAGCGAGAGATCATGATCCTTCGATCAAGAATAATCTTTTGGCACTTTTGAATATGCACTGCAGCACGTGTGTATGTGTGGCAATATTTGCGAATACCACCATTATAGGTAGGAGCAAGGAGGTGATTGAGCGAGGTATACTAGAAGCATGCCTCATCAGGAAGAAGAAAAATACGTGTATTAGCGATACGTCGATGGTACTGCGGTCAGCCGATGTGATATTTTTATACGTTTCTGACATAGCAACCCACAATTCTACCTGTGCATGCACGCAGAGCCTCAACGACATTATTCACTGGCGTGTCCGACTGTGCGATGCTGTGTGTCACGCATCTGTGGCGTGGTGCACATTCCGCGGTGGTTTGGCACGGATAAAT